CTTTCCTTTCCACATACTGCTCAGCAGATTGGTTCACTGTAAAACTAGGTGGGTGGAAAGGAACAAGGAACGTGATTTACTTTGAAAAGCCCTCCCCGCTTTTCTTTGAATCCAGCCTAAGAAATTCTGTGAATCAATGCTCTTGATCTTTAACACAGTTATTCTGAGATTTCTAAATTACATATGGTGCCTTGTCGATGCAAAGGCACATTGTAAATAAGCAGATGTGTAATCATCTGATGGTGCTTGATTTATAGCCTTAGATGGCAAAACACTAGTAAACACTGTATTCTGCTCTGGTCAGACCTCACCTGGAGTACTGTGTCCAGTTCTGGGCACCACAGTTCAAGAAGGACACTGACAAACTGGAACGTGTCCAGAGGAGGGCAACCAAAATGGTCAAAGGCCTGGAAACGATGCCTTATGAGGAACGGCTAAGGGAGCTGGGCATGTTTAGCCTGGAGAAGAGGAGGTTAAGGGGTGATATGATAGCCGTGTTCAAATATATAAAAGGATGTCACATAGAGGAGGGAGAAAGGTTGTTTTCTGCTGCTCCAGAGAAGCGGACACGGAGCAATGGATCCAAACTACAAGAAAGAAGATTCCACCGAAACATTAGGAAGAACTTCCTGACAGTAAGAGCTGTTCGACAGTGGAATTTGCTGCCAAGGAGTGTGGTGGAGTCTCCTTCTTTGGAGGTCTTTAAGCAGAGGCTTGACAACCATATGTCAGGAGTGCTCTGATGGTGTTTCCTGCTTGGCAGGGGGTTGGACTCGATGGCCCTTGTGGTCTCTTCCAACTCTATGATTCTATGATTCTATGAACACTAGGCATGTTGTAAATAAATGAATAAATAAATAAATGCAAACCTATCAGTCTGATGGTGCTTGATTTACAATATTGGAGGGTAATTTTAAAAAACAACAACTACAGGAGCTCTGTCATTTGTTTCTGGGCATTCCATTATGAATGAACATCTTCCTTTGAACTGGCCATTTTGTGCAACCCAAAAATTATCGAACAAGTAGTGATCTAGGTTCACAGAGTGTACCCAGGAGAGGAGCCACACCACACAGTTACCATAGAAAGTCTTTAGGCAATGAAGTAAGCAAGCAAGCAAGCAAGCAAGCAAGCTCAATGCATACATATACATACATACATACATACATACATACATACCCAGCCTGAAGCATCAAGGCAGGCTGTGATATGTTTAAGGCTGGAATATGAAAATTCATTCTAAAAATATAGCTTACAAATGACACATTTTTTAATAGTGGGAGAATTGCACATTTATGGGAGAATCCTTACAGAAGCAGCACATGAGAGAAATGAGTGTGGCATGCCCCAGAATGTATGCACTATTCTTTAACTTATGTATAGTTAGATTGTAAAGCGAATCTACACTGGTTGGTTGTAAATGTGTTATAGAAATGTGACACCAGAGGGCACTGTAGAGCAGGGAGCTTTCGACAATGGAAAACTGCACTGAGAGTTATATAACATTAGTTAATAACACGTTTACGATCAATGTTGATCCAGCCCCAGTGTATCGTCTCAGTATTTATAACAAATTATAAATAAACTAGCATATTTCTCTTTGTTAAGTGGTGTGCGAAATGGTGGATTGATTTCCACACCTATATCCTTAGTGAATAATACTGGTGTCCTTCTTTATGACTATACCCAGATAACTTGTTTGTTGCAGGGAGACTAGACAGCATTGTCAGAGAGGTACAATTTTCAATGTGGTTTAAGAATCCCTCTTCCCAGTTCTGTGGGAATTGTAGTTCTGTGAAGGAAATAGGGGTCTCCCAACAATTCTCGGCACCCTTAATGAACTACACTTCCCATCATTCTTTGGAGAAGCCATGGCTATTCAAAGTCATATGATGTTGCTTTAAATATATGATTGGGCCACTGTGTCTCAGGCTAACTTACCGTACAGGAGAGAACCATGTTACCTTGAGCTTCTTGGAGGAAATAGACATGTAGATTAACAGCTTCAGAGCCAAAAACCACCATGTAAAGCACATATATTGCCACATGATTGCATTATAGCCACAGGACGATTAAGTCCATGGGGTTGCGGCATTCCTCTCACTTTCGGGCCAAGGGAGCCAGCGTTTGTCCACAGACAGCTTTCTGGGTCATGCAGCCAGCATGACTAAACCGCTTCTGGCGCAATGAAACACTGTGACAGCAGCCACAGGAAGCATTTAGAAAGGGAAGAAACCACTTAAGCTAGGCATAAATTTCACAAGCAGTAACACATTAAAGGCTTCTGGTACAAGCCGTTGGGCTTGTTAACTATTTCACACCCTAGAAAATCTCATGCAACAGTGGATGCAGAAGATTAGATGAAAACGTAGCATACAAATGCCTGCAAATTCTTGCCTTTACTCCTGGGACAAGTGAAGGAGAGTTTTTCTCATTGTTAGTGAGTTAATGTACAGTTCTTGAAAACTGCTGTTTAAAATAAAAGCAGGGCAAACCAATGGGAAACACATTAACGATAGTACTGGAAGGGGAAACCAGCAGCCATCTAAATATTGTTGAACTCTCTGCTCTCCCCAGCCCCAGACAGCATGGCTATTAGTGAGCAATGGTGGGAGTTGCAGTCCATCAGGAAAAGAAAAGAAAGAAATTGGGAGGCTCCCTCTCTGTTTGACTGTGTTTCCCATTGATTAGTTGTACTTTGATCTGAGAAAGAAATTGCAAGAACTGTACAGTAATTCATAAAACGTAAGAAATGCAATTGCTCACTCTTTGTCAAAGAAGTAAATGGTGGAGTCTTGAACACTTTAACAATCCACAGGGAACTAAAAGTGATCTTATACATTCAATATTGTACAACTACAGTGGTACCTCGGGTTAAGAACTTAATTCATTCTGGAAGTCCGTTCTTAACCTGAAACTGTTCTTAACCTGAAGCACCACTTTAGCTAATGGGGGCCTCATGCTGCTGCTGTGCCACCGCCACACAATTTCTGTTCTCATCCTGAAGCAAAGTTCTTAACCCGAGGGACTATTTCTGGGTTAGTGGAGTCTGTAACCTGAAGCATCTGTAATCTGAGGTACCACTGTATGGTGAAGTTGCAGTGCACATCCCCATAAATGTTTAAAATAAGACTTTATAATGCTGGTCTGATCCTGCTCCCCCCCCCCACATTCAGGTACAGTTCTGGTACTAATAGCTTTTTTTGCTAAACTAGGATGGTCAGTTCTGCTGGTAAATCTTTGCAGTGTTTCCCCCCCTAAGAAACAATGAGCAAACAGCACCTAACTACTTGTCTCTCTATTCTAGAATTAAATCTAAGAGATTTATTTCACTGTATGCAAGTCAAATATGCTGTTTAACTTTAGGGAAGGTTATAGGCGGTAGCTATAGCCAGACCCACTGCGAGTACACAGCTTTGGACTGCAAAAATGCAACCAGAATTTGAGTTTAAGAATTGGCAATATTACACATTGCAGTCCTGTGATGAGCAACTCTTGGCTTTAGGGGGGGAAGGGGAGAAGCAACCCTGTAGAGTGTATGTAATTCTACCTTAATGTAATCTAGTAGTTACATTATGTTAATATTTTTAGACTGCTTTTCTGTCCCAATGGCTTCAAAATGGCTTAAAAATTAAAAACAAATGGCTAAAAATGACAAATGCAAGTATCAGCATGACCACCTCTGACCAGATAAATACAATAGAGAAGCAAGGAATATACCGTATTTTTCGCTCTATAAGACGCACCAGACCATAAGACGCACCTAGTTTTTGAAGGAGGCAAACAAGAAAAAAAATATTCTGAATCCCAGAAGCCAGAACAGCAAGAGAGATCGCTGCGCAATGAAAGCAGCAATCCCTCTTGCTGTTCTGGCTTCTGGGATACCTGCACAGCCTGCATTTGCTCTATAAGATGCACACACATTTCCCCTTACTTTTTAGGAGGGAAAAAGTGAGTCTTATAGAGCAAAAAATACAGTATATCTCTATCTATATATATATAGTCAATGCCAAAGACCTGATGAAATATTTCTCTCAGAACTACTTCTCTCGGCTGTAACATGTCTCCACATGTTGCCTAAAGCCTTTAGGGTCGGAATTCCTTTGACTAAGTGTGTACCCTGTTTTAATTTCACTGGAAGTGGGTGGGGTTTTTTTTGCGATATGTGATTTTTATTGCCATGTATGGTTTTATTTACACACATATACTGAATGAAGGGGCAGCTTAATTCCAATAGATGCCCCAAATTCACTGCTCTGCATCCAATTTCTAGGGCAGCCACCAGACCTACCACATTTCTTATGGAGAGCATCTTAGTCATCATCCCCACAGGTAGGGAAAAGGTGGGAGGAAAAAAGACGCACACTGCTTCCAGATAGAGTCTGGCTACTTCCTTAGCTATGCAAAGACCTGCCATTCAGGGCCATCTATCTTAATCCTGCCAACCAAAGGGAATCTGTCAGGTGACACTTGTCTGAACTACCTTACCCAGTCTAGCAGCCTCTTTTCATACCACCAATGTTCACAGAGTTAGGGGGAAATCAAAATGGCAAAAGCAATCCACATGGCAGACATGGGTTTGTATAATACTGGGGATCTCTTTTCAACTGCGTGTGTTCTATCTACCCTGGCTCATCAATGAATGGTGTATAAACAGGGTGCATGTCTGATCCCAATAAACAGGGTGTATGTCTAATCCCAAAACTTACTCCCATGACACACTGGATTTAAAGAGTAAATGCTGGAGCCTTGGGTGGAACCTGCCTATGTGTAAACAGCCTTTAGCAAAGTTTAATATCTGAACCAGTTTTCTTTTCTTTTAGAACTGCTATCAGGGAAAACCAGTCACAGTGAATGCTGGTAAATGTGTTAATGGTCTAATTTTAATCAAAAAGATATATCAGGAACAGGATTCCAAAATCACCACCTTAGGCAAATATTCTATGAAACCAAGCCAACAAACACAGCCAATATATAAAACAAAACTCTCTCTGGTGTTGTTCTCATTTACAGATTCTCCACCTTCCTTTCCTTGAGGCTGATCACAGACGCTGCAATGGGAAACAAAATGATCTGGGTTCTGGCCATTTTGACCATTGTAGGGCTCAGCAATGCCTTGCTGCGTAAGTGCATGCATTTTCAGTATTTCTTTTATCATTTCTATTATATGAAAAATCAAGTGGCATACAATGAAGCTACACTAGCAGTGCAAGCCTCTGCAGTTCTGCTTGTAGCATTGCAGCCAAAATATCAGTTCTAAAAGGCGGGTGAACTTTCTCTTATATATCGCTAGATCTGGCTGTCTTGATGGGGTAGTACTGGAGAGCTATCTAGGAATGCATTTCTGTGCGATTCTAATAAAAAGAAGGCTTCATTCATGTTTATGTTTTAAGCCCCAAACCCTGTATTTTGAAACCAAGAAAACCTGAAGTAGAAGTGTTTAATAATGTGTGAATATTATGAAGTTGGTTTTATTTTATTATAGGAATATAAAAAATAGCTCACCCACATTTACTCTCTGGTTATTTCTAAAGGGGGCAAGAGGTGGGGGGAGATTTGTCATAGAGGGCATTTAGGATGTTGGTAAGTTTGCTCAGACAGGCAGAAATCAGGGACATGCAAAAGAACTGGAATTGGTGCCAAGACATTCCATGTGGCAGTGGATGGATGCTGTGTCTTCTAACCATAGACAGCTTCTGGCTTCTAAATGTCCATATATTCTAAAGCTCCTTTAACAAATATACAGCTCACACTAACCAAATTAGCTCATTAAAAATAGAACTAAAAAGAATGAAAGCTGGGAATTTGTGGCAGCTACTGAATCTTTTGTTATATGGCATATTATGGCATTTCCCCCCAAATATACAAACAAATATACCCATGTCCAATGTTGGATATGTAATATCTCAAATAAAACCATGTGGTAAGCTGAATATGTGTCTGAAAATAATAATTTTGGTTTATCTATATATCAGGCTTTTGAACTGATTTTGATCTTATTAGTGCGCTCATAATAATCTAGCAACAAGGTTCTGGTCATTAAACTTACGTTGCTGCCATAACAGGCCATTGTGTTATTCTCATGAATGAAGAGAAGTTTTCTTCTTTTCTAGAGCAATGATAGGGCAGGTGCTTCTTTAAGAAGTTGTGCTTTCATTCTTCATTCTGAAGTGGGGGCTGTGTGGGTGGCAAACAGGGAACTCTCCCTTCTTCTGGTTTAATATGCTGGCTGTTTGCCATAATAAACGTTGACTGACATTAAAGCAATGAATGATGTAAATACCAGGGTTACTTTTGCATTAAAACTATCAGTGTTATTGTGACTAGAATTGTAATTAGTGTGATGATTACAAGAAGATCAAATAGATGTAATTGTTTTATTTAAAAAGCAAAGGAGTACATGAATTTATGAGGGTGCTTGGTGCCTATATAAAGAGCATTCGTGATCATCTCCCTCACAGAAAACAACTTGTTGATATCAAACTTTGCTTTAAATAGCTTCAGGACAATGCAATGTTCCAGCAAGATCAAGAGAAAATTGTGGCTACCCAGGCATTGGTGAAATTGAATGCAGTGCAAGGCAATGTTGCTTTGATTCAAACGTGATTGATGCCCCCTGGTGCTTCAAACCCATTTCAATAGAAGGTTAGTATCCACAACTCTAATTCATTTTTGGATTCCAGTGTCAAATACAATTAATGTGTGTGATTTTTGGCACATAAAAGTACAATATGAATTTCTTGTTGTAAGAGCTTAAATTATTCTAAACGTTTTCATTAACGTAACCTTGGCACAAGGCAGGACTGAATCCCAAAATCAGTTGTGCTAGTCTCCTTCTGAAATTACAAGTATTGGTGTTGTGCAGTGGCCTTGTGATGCCAAAGACGTTTCTAATTTTTCTAATTTGTTATTTTCTAATTTGTACGGTGGTTCTCTAATAAAGCAGAAATCGCACCTGAGGGCTTGATCCTCTAACAGATGCATGGAATCTAGGGTTGCCAAGTCACAACCTGGGGAAGAGAGCTGCATCTGAAAAGCTCAGCTCTGTAAACTGCTGCAGCCTCAGAGATGCATATATCACATTCCCCATCTCTCCAGCCACTCTCTCACACACATGTGCTAAACCAGCCCTTTCCCAAACAGGTGCCCTTCAGATATATTCATCAACATCCCAGCCAGCACAGCAATGCTGACTGGGGCTGCTGAGGATTGTGGTCCAAAACATCTGGATAGCACTGCTCTGGGGAAAGGCTGCACTAGATCAGGTTGAAAGGGAAGGATGGAGAAAACAGGTAGTTGGGGATTTGTGTAATTGGGGCAGAGATGGACAGGGCACAGGGCTGGGCTAGCCAGATGCAGAGGCCCCCAGAACCTTTCAAAGTAGAGTAGAAGAAGGAATTTCAGGAGGTGAAGTTGGTATGACAACTGCTCAAGGTGTGGGAGCTCTGTCTTCTTTTGTAGCTGGCCACCCCGTCCCCGATAAAGGTATCTGAGTATTATCTAAATCAAACGAATAACATGACATCAATCATGTTGCAAAATTCCCCACACACTTAAAAGCAGGAGACTGGGAAGTGGACATTGCAATGGCATCACACATCACAATGCAGATTTTGTATTAGCAGATATTAGTACAGGGAAGAGGTTAAAAAAGATGAATGGACTGCTCTTTTGGGTGGCAGCTAAGTGAGCTGTTCTCATCACTACAAATTATATTTATTTTATGTTGATCATTTGGGAAATGTTTGGAACGTGCATCAATATGTTTAAATGAGAAATTTTTTTAAATGCTTGAGGCGAGAAATGCTCTGATGAAGTGGATTGTGTGGCTGATGTTATTCTTTCACTTTCTCCATCCAGAGTGCGTGTTATAAGGAAGGGATTCAGTGATAGTGGGAACCACTTCTCTACACGAAGAAGCTGTGCACAAGGCACTTCATCATCGTGAAGCTGTTTCTTGACAATGTTGGGAACTGAGATCCTGCAGAATTCTGAGATTAATTGACCCACTTAAACTATGCTATAGATTACTTCTTCTGATTCTTCCCCCCTACTGTTCAGCCCTTTGCTCCTTCCTGAAGCAATAAATCAAAGCAAAAGTGTGTTGCGTCCTTAATTTCTGCTTTCCTTCTCTTTCTTTCAAATTCAGACATTTAGTAAGATGCACCCACCCCTCTCTCTATACATGCCTGCCAAGTACTTCTCTATATTGGAGAAATAAGCCTTTCCAATGCACATTTGTGGAGAATTTAGATCAAATGTGCTAGAAGAGCTGTTTTTCTAGGGCAGTGGGCCAGAGAAAAAGAAATTCACACCAATTACTTTTACGTTTTCCCTGAGTTTATGATCATTCCATGTGACAATGGCTGGAGTGTGAGGTTTATTCCAGGGAGTCTTGGCTGTATAAGGGATGAACTGTATCTCTGTCGTGCATTTATTCCCATCTTTGCACATTTTATTGAGCTCAGCCACCATTTATAGCACAGATGGGCAATTTGTGGCTTTCCCCAATGTTGCTGGACTCTAATTCCCAACAATCAGGGATAACGTGAGTTGTAGATCATCAATATATGAAGGACCACAGATTTCTCATCTCTGGTTTGTAGACTATACTAGTGTAAGGGAGCATTAGCATCTGGTCTGGTATCTCCATACAAAATCATCACCTACCAAAAAATGCATCCTAATCTTGTGATGGAAGTGTAGAGTGGCTTGTGCTGCCAGACCATAATAGACCATGCAGAACCAGCAGGACAAGTTGATCTTGCTGCAATGGATACCAGCTGCAGTTCCATTTTCAAAGGTTCCCAACAAAAACAACCAGGGCCGGATTTAGATGAAGAGAGGCCCTAGGCTACTCCACTTGTGAGGCCCCTCCCCATCCCCCACCCTCACAACCAGAAGAAAATGGAAGAGTGTTATAAGTGAAGCCAAGGATGATAACAGGTATTTAAAATTCTGCAAGTCACAATTTCTCCTCTAAAGGACACAAGATATTATTGTTAAATACCATGGTGATTTTATAAAATGCAATAACTGAACTTTGTAAACCTTATGTGGAATAAGCATTATTTTTTTAGGAAAATGAAGTTGTAATGTTATTCTTAAAAAAAACCCCAAAGGGCCTGAGTTACTCTGCCCATGCAAGAAGTCTTGGATTTGCAATTTTGGGAGAGGAGAGACTGTGGAGCGGTTAAGCCCCCTAGATTTAGAGGCCCAAGTTGTTCTGCCCTTGCATGAAGTCTTGGGTTTGCAATTTTGGGAGAGGGGAGAATGCCCACTGGGGAGCGGGCTGGCTGGCGAGGCCCCCTAGATATAGTGGCCCTAGGCTTCAGCCTACTTAACCTGTACATAAATGCGGCACTGAAAACAAAGTTGCCTGTAACACTGCATGAAGTATCATCTGGGAAGCAGTGAATTTGGTATGTGCCTTGCCTTATGTTCTCTGCCCAAATGATTATCTGCCTGGCAACAACTTTGTGCTGCCCTTCAGCATTGCATCTGGTGATGGTGACTGTTTATTGCCTCCCAAACAGAACGCTTCCTCCTGGGCGAACTCTGGATGCCAGTACAGCTCCAGAGGTTATGACATATCTGGGTACTGATTGTTCCTCTGGATCAGATTCCTCATAGGTTCTGGTTCGGAGGACAGTAAACTAGCTGAACAGCAGATAAACATTTGGGAAGCTTGGCCTTCTGCCCAGGGCCTGAACTATCACATATAAAAAAGCCCTTTGTCCTTTGTCCTTTTAAAAAATGAAGCTTGTATGCTCAGTTCAGACATGGTGTGACATCACAGCTATTAGACGCTGATCTGCAAACTAAAAGCCATTTTTCAAAGAATAATCCTTGGGACTGAAGAAGACAGGAAATTTTCTGTTATCTAACATCTAGGTCTAGCAGCACCAGAATCAAGCCACTTATGTCTAGCTTCTTACCATTTCAAGTAAGCCAAAATTTCTACGTATTTCTTTTACTTACACTGTACATTACTTTATGTAAATGTCAGGGAACTGCCATCGGCTCAGGGGGGAGAGGGGAAAAGCTGGATGGATTACAGAGAGCCCCCAAAGATCGTGGGAAGCAGCTCCTCCTCAGCGGAGGAGAGTAACCACGCCTCCAGCGGAGAGGAGCTTCAGGGCTCGGAGGAGGCGAGGCGGTGCCAGGACACCTTGCCTGGGCAAAGCGGGGAGGAGAGAGGTCCTCCATTACCCACGCCCTCCTTGCGCAGTAAGCTTTCCCGCCGAGAGGGGAGGCACAGATTGGGCGTCAAGAAACAGCTTTGCTGGGAAAGGTTTAAGGACCGCCCACTCACGGATTCTGCCAGTGAATGAGCCAGCCATGGGAGAGTGGCGCTCTGGACAGATAAAGTTAATTTTGGCATCAAAAGCAAGGCTTCACAGCCGAGCAGGGAGGCATTTGCCTGCTTGCTCTTAAGCAACTCATTGGAACCCTAACAGTAAATCATTGCCATATGGTTTCAAATGATGCTTAAAATGTATGCCTCAAAAAACTTTTTATACTATTTTGGAAATAATATCTTTAGGTTAATATTTTTTTTTACTCTCAAGAGCAAGATCTGGAGTGTTATCATTGTTCATAGTCCCATTCCACAGATCTGTGCACTTAGATGTGAGGCATGTACACATATATTCACCAAATAGATGGCAACACTACAGCAAACTCATCCTCCAAGTGGTGATCCTTAGGTAGCCAATATGACATTATTCCACACACAAGGAGGAGGCATCAGCAGAAGTACAAAAAAGCAAGAAAGTACAAAAAGTCTTGGACCGATGTGGACTCAACATGTTCAGTGGCCACAGAATGCTAAGTGTCTGTTGGCAGGGACATAGAAGATGGGGGGATGGAATGGAAAAGGCCATGACTGGCTTTTTGAAGCACTTTACACAGCAACTTTTTTTTCTTTTCAATTTCCACATGTGATTCTATGATTCAAAGGAATGTCACAGGGACCCAATCCAGCAAGAATTACTCAGAATACTCTGGATCAGGACATTTTTCTTTTATTATGTTGGCTGTGTTTATAAAAACACTGCGCTATATTGTTGTAGTCAATACTGTTCTAATTTCTGGCAGAAACATTTGTGGCAAGTGTTAAACAATTATTGACTGCAACTATATAACTCAGCAGTCTTATAATTTTATATAGTTTACTTAAAGCATGGGGAGCTTATCCCCTAAAACAGATATTTTAGAAGATTGTTGTCCAGTCAGTGCCGGATTTATGTATATACTAAACAAGCTATAGCTTTGGGCCCCACTCTCTTGGGGCCCCCCAAAAAAATTAAAGAAAAAAAACCTGGATGTACATTTCCAAAATATAAGATAAAAAACAAATAAAATAAAACCTACATACAGCAACAGTGTTGTGTGGTGTGTAGGCTCCTATGATGTAAGTAATGGGCCCTGTCTGCTAGCCTGCTCCCTAAAATATCACTGGTTTGTTCATTTCTATATCAATTACTTTTATAAAATACATATTTTGTTATGTGCAAATGGCTTTAGATACCTATTAGGTCCATAAATTACCATCTAGCATATATTCAGCACAAAAAACAGCGACAATTTGTTGTTGACAAAGGACAGATGGACATATAAAGGGCCCCATTACCTTCAGTAGCTTAGAGTCTCATCAAACCTAAATCTGTCCCTGATCCTAGAGTAACAGAAAAGAGAAGAAAAAAGGATTAGCATTAGCATTTAGACTAAGTGCACCATAGTATGAGGCCTGGCCAGCAATGGATGCTGTGTGGCTTGTAATCTTTTCGTACAACCTGGACTGGAATTGCTCTAAGCTCTGGTGAAGTGGAACACACAGAGCACGGCCTTGATTCCCTTTACGTCACAGTGGGAGGAATTCAGTGTAGCACTGAGCAGATCAGTCCAACAACACAATCATTTGCCTTCTCCTGCCTGCTGTTCCAAGGTTTCTCTTGACCCCCCAGAGCCAATTTGTGATCTGTGGAAGACGCCCATGGAGAGTAGAGAGGAGGAAAACCTTAAGGCACTAGCAGAAGTCCCTATGCAGGCTTCTATCGGTGTGACTCATTGATAGAATCCTGCCCGATCCTTACTATCTTTTGGTGCTGGGGCTACTGGCTTCTTGTTTTTCTTGCCACTTTGGTAAAGGAGAAGCAATGATTCCATGTATCATGTGGCTGACTGGTAATGAAGGGATGTAATCAAATGCCAGTTCTTCTCTGAGTAAACCCATTAAAACTAATGGACCTAAGTTAGTCAGGCTCACTAATTTCAACAGGTCTACTCAGAGTAGGATTAGCACTGAATACAACCCAAAGAGTTTTTATTTCAGGCCTTTGTTAGTGTTGTGGAATCATCACATTAAATGCAAACAGAGATTCCTCATTGGCTAGACAGGTGCACTCTGTGTATGCTCATACCATTTATTTCTGAGGCTCATAATTCTAAATCACATCTGCCCCTGCTCTGTTTAAGCTCTGTAGGCTGTGTCATGCTTTGATTGGGTAGAATATTGCGCACACATTTTCCTTTTCAGGAAACTGATCCTGTTTTGTTTTCTAAATAAAAATAAAAGATAAATTAAATTGCAATTCTTCCTGCATTTTGTCACAGTGAGGACTTCATATCATCAGAGTCTCCCACTGCACTTTACAAGCCTGTTGTTGGTTTGAGTACCACATTCCCAAATGTAGAGACAATTAATATTTTTAAACCTCACCCATATCAAGTGTGACTGGTGAAAGATTGTTCAACACCCTTAAAAGAGTCCATTACTAACGTTCGACTATAACTCAAGATCATTGAATGAGCTAAACCATTTTAGCATTACAAAGGTCTGCATTACAAAATGTAGGTTATGACAGATTAATTGGCAATTATTATGCATTTAGCTCCATCATAACTTTGGACATAGTCTTGTTTATTTAGGTGAACAAACAGGATCCTCCCAAAAGGACTGAGCACAGGACCCTGTGGGCCGTGAATCTGCCACTGAACAGCATTTTTTCACCAATAAATGAACCAGCTTAAGTATTTGTATTATTTTAATTTAGGGATATAAATGTAATGTAAACATATGTTATTTCAGATCAGTTTTCTTGGAAAGTATTAAAGTGAACAAGCTGGATATAGCAATGGAATGCAAGCAATGGTTACTGTTGGTTGCTGCCCTGTGCTTAGGATCTGTCTGTTCCCAAAATAGAAGACATCCACCATGTAAGTATATATTGCATATAATATTTGTTTCTTAATAAGCAAAAGAAGCCGAGTTAGTGACGAACAGCAAAGCGACAAAACAACAGGCAAATGCAGTCATCTATAAATTGTTAGTAAAATAATTCCCATAGAAGAAATTATTATTTTCTTTCTCTCTATGTGAGGTCAACTGAGGATAACCTTGAGTGCCACTGTTGTAGTCCATAAATTGCTTTAGGCATTCTTATTATAGCTTCATAAACCCATGCTACAGTGCCATGTCCTATAGACACCCACCCAACCACTGTCACCATTACTGTTGACAAAGAGAACAGAAGACAATCCACACTTGCTGATCAAACATTGGTTTCTATAAAATGATAATGTTGGCACCAAAGACAAGGAGACTGTACAAGCCCCTGTGAGGCAGGTATCTTATGGATGTGCAGCAGACTTCTTGCTTGTTGTAATGTTAAGCTCCTGTTACTTATAGGCTGCATTTGCTTATCCCAAACTCTCACATTAAAGCTCAACCAGTTACAGCCAGATAGACTCTTCACAATAGGAGATAGGAGTCTTGTGAATTGGTTGAGATATTTTGAATCCATGAAGAAATGCAAAGTATTAAGGGACCACATGATTTATTTTCTATAAAGCAGCTCACAACATGACACACCAACTGTCCACCCCACATTTGGTTACTTTACAATGGAATGGTAAATATGGTTGCTCCAAATGTACCAATTCCTTCCAAACAGATGCATGCCAATGTCTGATGGATGTCCAGGCTAGAAAGAGGTGTGATTCCACTTCTGCAGGCATCACTGCAGAGCAATGCACGGAAAAGGGCTGCTGCTTTGATGCAACTGTGCCTGATGTCCCATGGTGCTTCAAACCTTCTGGAGAAAGAGGTAAATGATACACAAAAGGTTTGGGGGAGGAATGGGAAGTAGCTAGGGACAAGGTAGAAATTAGATTCGTATCACATGACCTAATCCACACTTTCTGCAACAATATGAGAACCAAAACACAGCTGTCCAAATTTTGCAAACAATTCCTCCAGTTGTTCACTCTGGATTCATGAATTTAGTGAAGGGCAGGCATGAAATGGAATAGCTAAAATAACTAAAGATGTGCTCCTCATGCTTCCTGGGGGAGGCATTTCAGAGCCTGGTTGCCACCACGGAGCAGCTGGTCTCCTGTGCCATTTTACAGCACACTTCAAATAAAGAATGCACTTGGAGCAGGGCTTTGCATCTTAACACATGGGACACGCTGCAGTGGGAAGAGGCAGTCCTTCGGCTGTTTGGGCTCTGTGCCAGGGGGTGGGGTCTAAGCTCCAGGACCTTGATTTAGGTCCTTGGATTTTGGTTTTGATGAGCTTCATTTAAGCCAACAAGGAGTTATTTCTCAACCTAGGCTGAAAGCAACATTACAAGCTGCCTAAAACATGGCATATGGTTTCCAATAGCTTCACTCCGATATGCAAAGAGAATGACTGAACCGCAAGCAAGAGTGGACTGTGGCTATCAAGGGATCACGCGCAAGAGGTGCAAAAGGATTGGGTGCTGTTTTGACCGAAAGGCTTCTGACACATCAATGTGCTTCTATCCCCCAGTGAATGAGGGTAATGACTTTGTGTTTATATTCTCCGAATTCAAGAAGAGATATATAAGCCCATTCACAATCATGTTCCTTTAAGTTCTTATGTAACCTGGTGTCACGTAAACAATCAATAGCTTTGTCACAAATATGTTGTTGTTGTTGTTGTTGTTGTTGTTGTTATTATTATTATTATTACAGTGGTACCTCGGGTTACATACACTTCAGGTTACATACGCTTCAGGTTACAGACTCCGCTAACCCAGAAATAGTACCTCGGGTTAAGAACTTTGCTTCAGGATGAGAACAGAAATCGTGCGGTGGCAGCGGCGCGGCAGCAGTGGGAGGCCCCGTTAGCTAAAGTGGTACCTCAGGTTAAGAACAGTTTCAGGTTAATAACGGACCTCCGGAACGAATTAAGTACGTAACCAGAGGTACCACTGTATTATTATTATTATTATTATTATTATTATGATTACACCCCGTCCATCTGGCTGGGTTTCCCCAGTCACTCTGGGTGGCTTACAGCACATGTAAAACATAGTAAAATATCAAACATAAAAAAACTTCCTGATACAGGGCTGTCTTCAGATGTCTTCCAAAAGTTATGTAGTTCTTTATTTCCTTTACATCTGAAGGGAGGGCACCACTACTAAAAAGGCCTTCTGCCTGGTTCCCTGTAATTTCACTTCTCACAGTGAGGGAACCAGCAGAAGACCCTTGACGGAGGACCTCAGTGTCTGGGCTGAGCAGTGAGGATGGAGAGGCTCCTTCGGATATACTGGGCCGAGGCTGTTTTGGGTTTTAAAGATCAGCACCAACATTTTGAATTGTGCTTGGAAACGTACTGGAAGCCAGTGAAGATACTTTAGGACCAGTGTTATATGGTCCTGGTGGCCACTCGCAGTCACCAGTCTAGCTGTCACATTCTGAATTATTTGTAGTTTCCAAGTCACCTTCAAAGGTATCCAAGCGAGAGATAACCAGGGCATGAACCTATTGAGGACTGGTTAATGGAAAAGGAGAGTTCCTGTTCCACAGCCTGTTTCTTCCCCAAGAGAGCACAAGGCAGGCAACAGTAAGCCTCACTGGCTGAGGATAGCTCAGTCAGTAAAGCATGAGACTCTTAATCTCAGGGTCATGAGTTCAAGCCCCACATTGGGGAAAGGATTCATGCATTGCAAGGGATGGGACTAGATGACCTTTGTGGTCTCTTCCAACTCTACAATTCTATGATCTCTGTTCAGAACACTGCCTCCTCCAAATTCCAGTCCAATGTAGAAGAGGACTCCTATCCACATGATAGTGAGAAAATAGGATTGGGCCCAACCCTTTGACCAGTTAATTGTTTCTGCCTAAGTCATGGTCCATAACAAGTCTTTTAATGGTTTGTGTATTCTATGGTTAAAATAACCAAACAGATAAATACATGAAAGGCACATCAATAGAAGTAACAGAAGGCTGGCAGTAACATGATTCATTCTTCTGAACAGTTTCCCAGCATTGTGTAATGGACATGAGCGCAAGGGAAGACTGTGGATACCCAGGCATCACTGCCGAGGAATGCCAAGGAAGAGGATGCTGTTTCAATTCATATGTTGTTAGTACTCGGTGGTGTTTTTACCCAACATCCGTAACAGGTAACAGAGCAGCAACTTGCTTGTGACAACAGATGTGTCTGAAATAGAGAGGGATGAAGTATGCCTACAGAGAGCAGTGTAGGGACAGCATCTTGATCCATGTCCATAGAGATTCTGTCCTGGAATGAGAATACCAAAATATTGGACGGACTATAATATTGCATTTACTTATTGTTGAGATATCACATTTTTATTGCAAAATCCATATTTTCCAGAAATAAAAGTAATGGAATTATGAGGATTTTGCCCTCTGTATTTTGAATATTCTGATTGTATTTGGCAAGTCAGTGTTAGCACAGGCATTGTCTGGTTGCTACTGGAACTGTTTCCAAGGATACTGGACTGCAACTACAGTCTTCTGCCATTTTAATTTTTTTTAGTTGCCCATTTTTCTCCCCACCACTTCAATTCTGTGTGTATAGGATATGACAGCATGTCTCCAGCCCCAGTGTCAGCTGACTCCAGCTTCAATTATTTTATTTGTAAAAAAAAAAAAATCTTTTTGGACAAGCACTGTGAAGAGATGTGCTGGTCAGGTGCCATCTTCATTCTCCTTAATGTGTCTGGGCCCCACTCCATCACAGAAACAGTGAGGTGAGTCCCAGAGGCAATGGGAATGATTAAGATGGCAGCAGCTGCTACTCTCTCATCTAGTACTTGTCTTAACAACTCTGGTCTGAGGAGGAGCCAGAAAGGTAGAGCTGCCCTGCTTTCAGCATCATGGCCCACCGCTATTGCCAACCACCCACACCCACTGTCATCAGCTTCCTGGTAAGCTTGGGAGAGTATCAGAGTGATGCTAAGAGGAGCTAACTGAAGGACACCCAGCCAAAGCTCTGCCCCCCCTCAAATCCTAGTGCTGGCCCTCGATAGCACATCTTGTAAAAACAACAACTTATGATTGTAGAAATAAATTGAAGTAAACTAAAGATCCAATAGGTTTGCAGAGTATTTTATATCAAAAGCCTTTCCCATTTATTTTTCATTTGAATGTATCTTCTTCCTTTACTTCAAAACATATCAGGATCTTATGCATTCTAGAACTCAGACATATCCAATAATACTGGGAGGAAATAGGCAGAAGAACAAATTTACATTGCAGGGTGCAGAAGCTTTCCTGGCTATTAAAGTAGATCAGCATCTACTTTAATAGTCAGGAAAGCTTCTCTCCTCCATGTATAGAGGGATCCTTCCTTCCTTCCTTCCTTCCTTCCTTCCTTCCTTCCTTCCTTCCTTCCTTTTGGAGTCTTCAGCCTTTCACAGTATAAAGTAAATTCCCCCCTGCAGTGTAAACCTCATCAGCTTGTGTGAGAGTACTATAATATAATATAGACAAAAACTGATTCACAAATATAGAGGAATTATGGGGCAGCTTTACTTTTTTTAAAAACAAAACAAAAACAAAAAACCCTGAGTCAAAAGTTCTTCTTTCTCATTCTTTTTCATTTTAAGGACCTCCCAAGATGTGTGGAATGGCACCAAACAAAAGGGTGGGTTGTGGATTCCCTGGCATCTCTGCTGATGAATGCTTGAAGAAAGGATGCTGCTTTGAACATCACCAGTATGCCCAAAATGTTCCCTGGTGCTTTGAACCTTTGGCGAGGCAAGGGAATTTTTCACTATGAAGAACTGGAAGTTGTTTGGGGTGGCTGAAGAGGATGCTCTGCAGAATAAGGGACCACAGGATTTCCCTTGCACTACATTTTTGTCTCACCTTTTCCATTCCCATATGTATAAATAGCAAGAAGGAGTCCTTATATGCTATGCTAAAATATATTAAAATATCAAAATATCCAGTGTTCATCTTTGTTGGGTTGTCTGACACTAGTTCTAATTTCTCCAGTAGGAGGAAAGTGAGCATATGTACTAGAAATAATAATAAATAATAAATAACAGATCAGTGGGAGGCTCGAGAGACTAAGATTAGCCCAGCACCAGCCAGTTCATGCAACTAAATTAATACATTTGGAATAAGGATCAAATAGACATATATGGAGTTTGTTGTGCAATCGCTTCCCCAGACACCCTGTTTCCACAACTGCTGAAGAATAGATGAAACAATGGAATTGTCAAAAATATAAGCTGGGGGTGGTGGTAGAGTGGTGGAAGGATACAAATATGCAGATATCTGCGGGCTGAGTCCTCAACAACCTATGGTGGGCTGCAAAGGTTAGGCATCATCTTCCAGCAAATTCTCATGGGGTTATATGACCAGGAGCCAATTTTTAGTCAGATAGCAGATCCCACACCCATCTCCCAGTGTTGCTAATAGCCAAGGATAAGGTGGTTCAGAGGCACAAAAGTATTCTTAGAGAAAGTGGGATTCTAACTCTCAGAAAACTGACATTCTGTCTAGCACTAGCATTGGATTAATATATCAATCCACACAACCTAACATGTAGCAGTGAGCTGTACACATGCGACTGAGCATGTAAATTCCTACACGCTCATCTTCCAAACACATGTTTGGTGCTGGGTGTGGTGGTGGTTGGAATGGCAGCTTGAATTTACCCTCATTAGATATGCAAATAGCAACAGAACCCTCTGACATTTGGCTGGTTGGAATGTAGCCTACAAAGGTAAGAGACATTCACATCTGTTACTCCACCCATTGTTCTCTCGGACCCTGTTTGCCACTGGAATCTGCTCACTTGAGAGTTGAGAGTGTGGTGTAGTAGTTAAGAGTGGTGGACTCGTAATCTGGGGAACTGAGTTCGCGTCTCCGCTCCTCCACATGCAGCTGCTGGGTGACCTTGGGCTAGTCACACTTCTCTGAAGTCTCTCAGCCCCACTCACCTCACAGAGTGTTTGTTGTGGGGGAGGAAGGGAAAGGAGAATATTAGCCGCTTTGAGACTCCTTCGGGTAATAATAAAGAGGGATATCAAATCCAAACTCCTCCTCTCCTCCTCCTCCTCCTCCTCCTCCTCCTTCTCCATGAGGACTGAAAAAGATTCCTTGCCATGTGAAATAGCTTCAGAAGTTCCACCAATGAAGACATTTCTACATCCAACTCTCAGTGATCCTCGGTAACATCTGAAGGAGAAGTTGTCCAGGGGAAATGTCATGGGCTGTAGATAGATGAAGCTAATTCTTGCACAACTTCACCTGTGCAAGTTCCCCTTCAACTGTTTCAAGAAGTGCTGCATTCTGTCAGCTGAAAGGCACATCTAGCTAACAACACTTCTTTTCCAATGTCCAAAGCCACTCAGATAGCAAGATATTGGTCATAGATATCATTACTACATTGAAAGGAAGCCTGAAAGTTAGGGGACAGAGCACCTTCTACATATGCCCCCATAAAAAAAGAAAGGAGAGGGAATCATAAAGGGAAAGAGATGGCACACTGAGCTTTCTCGTTATGCCTGAAAACCAGCTCTAAGGAGGACATCCTCCCCAAACTCTTGTTTTCTAACTGAAACAGTGTTGAAAAAAAAGGTAATGGAGCTGTTGTAACAAAGATAATCACTTTTGTAAGGAGTTACCAGCTCTATGTTGTTGCTGTTTCAAACAACGTATCAAAGCCCATATCAGATTAAACTGTTTGCTGGAGGTACCAGACTTGTATTTACACACACAGTTACAAAATCCAGTGACCTCCGTTGTGCAGTCCTCACATGCTAAGGGGTGTGTAGGCATACAAAGTGCCAACTCAAAGGTAAGAGGAATAGTTAACAATTGACTACAGCAGTGACCTCCACTGATAGCGTATCAGAGCTATGACACAAATCACAGATATTTTCTGCCCTGTTGCCAGTCGAGGAGCAAAGATCTTCATTTTTTCCATTGAAATATATTTTATACTGCAGTGTTTCTCAAACTGTGGGCTGCAGTCCCAGAAGTCACATGGGGGTTTCAGTCTGACTGGGGGGGCATTGGTGGTACAGCCTATCCCCAGCTGCAGTCATATAGCTTTTTGGATCGAGTGAGCCTGGAAAATCCCAACGTATGCAGAACATGGGAGCAGAGGTTGGTTAGAGAGTGAGGCAATAGCCAGGGTCAGAGGGGGAGAAAGGAAATGGAAAGAGATGAAATACAGTCGTACCTTGGTTTTCGAACACCTTAGTTCTCAAACATTTGTCTCCCAAACACTGCAAACCCGGAAGTGAGTGTTCCGGTTTGTGAATGTTCTTTTGGAACCCGAATGTCCGACGCGGGTTCCATAGCTTCCGATTGGCTGCAGGAGCTTCCTGCAGCCAATCGGAAGCCATGCCTTGGGTTCCAAACGTTTTGGAAGTTGAACAGATTTCTGGAACGGATTCTGTTTGACTCCCAAGGTATGACTGTAGATGGCAGACAGACAGACAGACAGACAGACAGACAGACAGACAGGTTGTGCCAGTATGAGAGAAGGAAGAGAAAGAATGGGAAGGAGAAAGGACAGACAGACTGGGAGAAGAGACAAGGGAAGTGCCTGGGGCTTCTGCTGTGCCCTTTAGTCCCTTTGATTCATCCCCCACAACCACAACCTTCCTTCCTTCTTTCTGTTTCTACCTTTAATGTGTAGGAGACAGAGTGCATTTGGGCATCTGCAAAAAACCCCCCACAACTGGTATAAAAAGAATTTTTGTGCAGTTCTGCGCATGATCACATCCAGACTGCAGTTTTTTTGCAGCACATAACCAAAGCATACATGTGCATCAGTAAGAATGTAAACAAATTGAAGGAATAGATAGCCGCAGCAAACTGTTTTTGTTCCAGTTCTAGAACCAATTTCAGAAATTCTCTAATTAAACAGGAATTCAGGAGCAATGGAACTACACAGCAGAGTGAACATTCAGGAGCAAACAAAGAAGCGAATGAAGAGAAATGTTTAGCAAGTTGGCACTTTACCCTATTGCCTTAAAACGAATCAACAAAAGATAGAACTTGAGTAAAGAAAGAAAAAAGTTTGTCGAGGGTCAAAATTCTGAAACTTAAAATCATATTCTGATTTTTTCATAATGTTAAACATTATTCTAGCATCTTTATTATTTTTTAAAAATAATAATATGAAAACCTGGATAATTTCATGGGCAAGTCCCAAAGAATTGCCTTGATCACAAAAATTTCATATGAATTTTGATTTAGGGCTGAATATTGCTATTTGTACTGGTCTAAATCTGATGCAGAAATACAAACTACAGGTATGGCTAAAAAGCAACACTTCCTTTTATGCATGTCTATTTAGCTTTCTAAAATGGTTGCCATGTGAAGCTGCTCAGATGTTTGGAATGCTGACTAATGTCTCTTCTGAGGTAATCAACAGTGCCTGACCAATACCGTTTATCTACTTTCATTTGATTCTTACCACCCAGGTAGCACCACCTCATATGTTGCTAAACACACACTCACATGCACACACACACACATATGCAAAACCCCTTAGATACATTTTCTAATCAAATGAAGAGAGATACTTGAGGTGGAGCATGGCTAGAAACTTGTTATCTGACTGTTGAACACAAACATTAATTGCGGTATAAAATAAGGCCCATAGGGACTGTGAGGTACTTTCCTTGATTTTAAAGCTTGCTTACCAAGAGCTGGAAGCTACGATGGAGCAGAAGGGGGTCTGGATACTTTCACTCATTTTAATTTTAGGACTTGGTGCATTGGCCGATGATAAGAAAGCTCCACGTAAGTACCTTAAGAGCTGTTTAGATTATCCTTCCTTATAGTGCATTAATGGAATGAAGGCATATGTTGCCAATATTCGGAATTGGATGAACTTGCCCCTGCTGTTGAGAAACTTTAAGGCCAACTTCTTACCAACATTAAGAGAAGCACAACAAAGTCCCTTAATCAATTAGATATATTTTGTAAGAGTGCACATCAAACTGGGTAACAGCTATAAAATATGGAAGGTTTCTCCCCCTGTCCCATAAGGAAGTAAAGGGTTACATTCCGCTGCGTGGGCAATAGAAAAATTTCAATTCATTTCAGTGATATCAGCGATGACCTTTACAATTGAAGCTAAGCCAAGTCACTTGGAAAGTCGAACCAGCCACATCCGAGAGCTCAAATTGCAGGAGGGAAAGGTTGCAGACCATTAGTGAAATCCACAAGCCTTAGCTCCCCTAAGGGTAACAAAATAATGCCCACTTACAACAGTGTTCCAAAAACAGGGGTTAAGGGCAGTGGTGTTCTTAGGGGTGGCCCAGGGGGAACTAGGCCCTGAGCTGTTTTCACTGTCTTAGATCTCCTGCGCCTTTTCTTTTCTAAAAAAAAAAAAAAAACTTTTAAAAAACTTTATTTACAGGGCTGCTGGGAATGCAGCAAAAGCATATTGCCAGTGAGACCTAAGTCATCTAGCACCTTCATTTTCTCATAGATCTAAAATTGCATCTCTACATATACATTAGGATATGTACATAAAGCAAATGTGCATCATGAACCTGCATTCAGAATCTTTTAAATACCTAGCAATTTGCCTCCTTAGAGGGGTATTGCCAAAGGTACAAGAGCTGTCCCGTACAGGTGCTGCTTATGATTTGGTACCTAAAGGAGAGGGATAAAATATAACCCCAAATCCCACAGGAATTACCTGCAGGGAAATTACCTATCACACACAAGTTCACAAAGGTGCCCTTTTAAAATGTGTTGGGGAGGGGGTGATTATTGGGTTGTTTTTGTTTTTATTATGTATTTTGCTGTTTCAGATTGTGATTTTATGTTGTGAACCACCCTGAGACCTGTGTGTATATGGCAATATAGAAATATAATAAATAATAATAATAAAAATAATAACAACATGTTCTAATATTACTGGAAACGTGTTGTATGATTTCAACAGGCTTAACCCCTGGGATCTAAACAAAGGATTTGCATTTTTATTAGATAGGAAATTCATGAGCCCTCTTAGCCACTGAGCCTGAACCTGCATGGACTGAAAATTGGGGCGGGGGGGGGGGGGAGTCTTGTCCTCACAAAGGCCAGCTCAGCTCCAGAGACTTTCCTGCTCAATCCAGCGCTCAGAGGGCTGGGGTTTGCATGCATACCTGTGCCCCTCCCCTCTTTTAGCCATTGGGTGTTCAACTGAGGGCTACATTTAGGCAGATATCTGAACAGAAGGAAGTTCCCATTGAAAGGTCAATGAGACCTGCCAGAGGCTACCATGTTCTTACAAGAAAAGAGCTAACCATGACTTCTGTTCTCAACAGCGGAATGCCGATGTCACGGTGATCCCAAAGCAAGAGTTAACTGTGGACCTCCTGGAATCACTCCCCAGCAATGCCGGGACGCCGGGTGCTGCTTCAGTTCTGAAGTTGCAGGAGTGCCCTGGTGCTTTGCTCCAAGCCCCCCAAAATGTAATGTATTTTTCTGAAGCATACCTGGCTTTTCTGAGATACTGAAAATGATACACAGGTCAGAATTCTGCTATCAGGCATTCAGTTAGTCTTGTCTTATAGGCAAACATAGAAACTGTCCAAGGAAATATGAAAAACCACTGTTTCTCAGTCACTGGAACCCTGCCTGATGTTAGACTTCATGCCAGAACCTGAGAGAAAGTAGATAGATAGATAGATAGATAGATAGATAGATAGATAGATAGATAGATAGATGATAGGTAGGTAGGTAGATAGCAAGCACACCATTTTTGTTTATGATGAACCTTTAGGTATGAAGGATTAATGAAATACCTAAGCTGTGTACAGTACACCAGATAGCCTATTCCCACAGCTGCTTAAGGATAATGTGGTTATATAAGTACAAGCAGATGATGGGCTGTTCCCAACCAAGTCATACTAAGAGAAGACCTTTTTGGAATCAATGGTTTTACTCTGAGTATGATTTAATCAGATACAATCCAGTGCTATTCAATTTGTCCACAGGGATTATATTTCTTTCCTCAGCCTTTGTTATGCTTTGCTAGAAATGTGAGTTGATTAGTTGATTAGTATCTAAGCTCATCCCAGTTTGTGCACGAATTGGTTCAGGCATGTAAGATAAAACTAATGACAGCCCACATAGAGGAAATAATCACAAAATACAGGTAGGTAGCCATGTTGGTCTGACGCAGTTGAAATATATAAAAAAATAAAATAAATTGTCTAGTAGCACCTTAGAGACCAACTAAGTTTGTTCTTGGTATAAGCTTTCGTGTACATGCACATGAAAGCTTATACCAAGAACAAACTTAGTTGGTCTCTAAGGTGCTACTGGACATTATATATATATATAAAATCACAAAATAGTTCATGTATCTTGAGCTCAAATAAAACAGAAAAGCAAGGGCAAAAGCAGCACCAGCTAGACAAAGACTACGAGCAACACTATGACTTTGATCCACTAATCTTAAGGAACTATTCAAAACAGATAAAAAGGTATGTCCTTCAGAGGTGAAAGTCAGGAAGAATTGTGGATACCCAGGAATCTCTGCTGCTGCATGTGAAGAGAGAGGATGCTGTTTTGAGTCCCGTCCTCCCGCAGTTCCATGGTGTTTCTTCCATGTTGAGGTAGCAGAAGGTAAAGTAACAAACATATTTTCCCCCTTTGCACAAATGGAACAAAATTTTGCACTGAGGCACATGCTACTCCTTGTACTTTGTTGCACATTATATCTTCAAGAGACTATACTACCAGTCAATAGTAAATGCCTTTCAGCGTGAGCATGCAAGCAATCTGTAGCACAGGTCAAGTGCAAATGGAAAGAAATCTGATGTGAAAAGCTTTAGAATAACTGCATAAACCCTTCCCCAAATTTGGTTACTATCCCTCATGCAAGTCCATTAGTATGAGCAGGGAGGGCAGTAATTCTAGTCCTGGGGTGAGGATAGGGACAGTCTTGTTGGTCCCACCCATTGTTGCTTACGGATGGCTTATCCCTGCAGCCTTCCATGCATTTGGGCTGGATGTCTTCAGCAGGGAGCCTTTGTACTTGTACAGCAATTTTAAATGATCTAGAACCCTGATCCTCTAAGATTCTACACCACACAGGAAGCCCACACAAGTCAAGCAGGCTGTCTGCTGCAAAGGGTCAGCCCAAACACATGGAGGGGTGCAGCAATAGATCAGCAGGAATGTGACAGGTGTGGTCAGGCAGAGTGCCCCTGCTTCCTCTCTTGCATGAGGGGAGCAAATGATTAGGCCCATGGTCTGTATAAGCATGCGTAACTGAGTACAACATATTTTGGGGGGGGGGGCAGAATATTAAAGACAGCTACCACGGAACATTACCCCTGCTGTCACTTGATTTGATGGAGGTGGACAAGGGAGAGCTAAACTACCCCAGTTCTTATACTTTTTGTTTTTATTGCCTTTTCAGAATGTTAAAACAAAGCTTCAGAAATGGACATTTGCACAAGGAGCATCTCTGCCAATGGAACAATTCAAAAAGGAAAACATGTCATCATGAACATTGTGCTCTTGTAATTCTGACTTCCACGACACTTTGCTTTGCCTTTGCATTCCCACAATAACACAATTAATCACATATTTTGTCTCCCACTGCTCACAATATTAGTGCTTGGCATCTTTTCAAAGCAATAAAAGGTTATAATAAACTTTAATTATTGATTTTGTGGGACTTTTTTCTGTATATATTAATGCAGCCAACATCTGCCTCTTTTTAAAGCATTAGGCTGCTTGAAGCATCACTTTATTTCTGGAATCATAGCATTGCAGAGTTGAAGGGGACTCTGACAGTCATCTAGCCCATCCCCCTCTGTAGCTGGAATACAAAGGTTCTGCATACAACAGGGTAGTTTGCTACTTACTGGTCTTCGGCATATGTGTGAGTCAGTTGCTCCATGTTGGGTATTAATTGGTTAAGTACTCCCCTTGCGATAGAAGCTGCTTTTTCTCATTTGGGAGGGAAAAAATTAAATAAGAAACAGTTATAATCAGACAAGAGGACATGTTCATATTCCCATTGTCCTGAGGCCCAGAAGGAGCACATCTCCATTACAGAGTTTCAAACTTGTCTGAAATAGAATCCACTGATATTGCTTCCTCAACCCCCTCCTTACTTTACATGAACCATACCTTCTATGAAACCAAACCATTACCACAAAAACAGAGTGAACCACGAAACAGTAATAGGAAAAAAAAATCTTCAGTGACATATCAAAGTAGATGGATGAATTATAGACTGTCAAGTACCATATTGGGTTCTTGATTAGTTATGTCTGTGGCCCTTTTTCTAAGAGAGGTGGGTAGGATTTGTTCCATATGGATGAGGTCTTGAGGTTTGTATTATGGCTGTTTCTATATTTGGGTTTGATGTTCACTGTTATTTCTTATTTATGTTATGTAGATCACCCTGAGGCACTTTGACATGCAAAGCAACTAATAAATATAATAAATACATACATGCATTCTGTTACTTGTAGTAACTAGAGAAAATATTCTAGACTTTAAAAAAATGCCCAGTCTAAAATATAAACCTTGGCCCAACAGCATCAAAAGCCTTCTCAAGTAGGTATTAAAACACTGATGTTGTAGAGCTACTTCCTTTTAAAACTAGCTCAAATGTGGAGAATAGCTAGGCCAATGCATCTGCTAAAGTCGTGTTTTTCCTTGCATGAGGAAGTTGCAGGTAAAGAAAGCAGTAGTCAGTTAAAATGTCCTAAGTCTCATTTAGTTAAGAAATGTCCTTGTAACCACAGAACAGGTGGATTTTTGACACAGAAGGTTATGAAATCAATGGAAAGGTTGCCACAGAAGTCTCTTTACTTGCATTGCTTTCCCAGTTCAACATCCGGTTCTTGCCTTTTGGGACTGGAAGCAGTTGGGATTGGTCCAACTATTTATAGCTGGTTCAACTGCTGTTTGTCATTGAGCTGTTCAACAACTCATTCAGGTAGGGTAAGTCAAGTGGATCTAGCGATTGCGGGGGCAAGGGATTTGGTTTTATTTTCATTTTAATGCAAGTTTTATCAATTTACCACCCCTCAAAACAATACAGAAACTGAAATGTGCCTTTCCTTTTAAATTCCTATGAATATTGTGGAATGGTTCCTCTACCAAAAGAAGGTGTACAGAATATACCGTATTTTTCGCACCATAGGACGCACTTTTTCCCTCCTAAAAAGCAAGGGAAAATGTCTGTGCGTCCTATGGAGCGAATGCAGGGGGGGAGGCAGGTGGGAAAAGCCCCCAAGAGCCGCACACAAGCTCCGTGCGCTCTTGCGGGCTTTTCCACAGGAGGGAGAAGGGACTGACTGGCCGCATCAGTCCCTTCTCCCACCTCCCAGAAAAGCCAGGAGAAGCCGCGATCTCTTTAAAGGGGTTGCGCGGCTTCTGCGGGCTTTTGGGAGAGGTGAGGGAATCCCCCCCACGTCCCAGGAAAGCCAGGAAAAGCCGTGCAGCCCTTTTAAAGTGCTTGCGGCTTCTGCCGGTTTTGCGGGAGGTGGGGGAATTCCCCCACTTCCCAGAAAAGCCAGGAGAAGCCGTGATCTCTTTAAACGGGTTGCGTGGCTTCTGCGGGCTTTTGGGAGAGGTGAGGGAATCCCCCCCACCTCCCAGGAAAGCCAGGAGAAGCTGTGCAGCCCTTTTAAAGTGTGTGCAGCTTCTGCCAGTTTTGCGGGAGGTGGGGGAATTCCCCCACTTCCCAGAAAAGCCAGGAGAAGCCGGCAAGGAGAGGCTGCACGGGGCTATGGATTCTTTAGCCCCACGCAGCCTCTCCCTGCTGGAGGGGTTGCGCACAGCTATGGAGCAAGCCAAGGCAGCGAGCTGGATGGATCCCGCTCGCTGTTTTGGCTTCCCCTTTAGCCCCGTGCAGCCTCTCCTTGCCGGGAGAGGCTGCGTGGGGCTAAAGAATCCATAGCCCCGTGCAGCCTCTCCTTGCTGGAGGGGTTGCGCAGGGCTTCTCCTGGTTTTCCTGGGAGGTGGTTGGATTTCCTCACCTCTCCCAAAAGCCCGCAGAAGCCGTGCAGCCCTTTTAAAGTGCGTGCGGCTTCTGCCAGTTTTGCGGGAGGTGGGGGAATTCCCACACTTCCCAGAAAAGCCAGGAGAAGCCGTGATCTCTTTAAAGGGGTTGCGGGCTTTTGGGAGAGGTAAGGGAATCCCCCCCACCTCCCAGGAAAGCCAGGAGAAGCCGTGCAACCCTTTTAAAGTGCGCACGGCTTCTGCGGGCTTTTGGGAGAGGTGAGGAAATCCAACCACCTCCCAGGAAAGCCAGGAGAAGCCCTGCGCATTGTCTCACGGCAAGGAGAGGCTGCACGGGGCTAAAGGGGAAGCCAAAACAGCGAGCGGGATCCATCCCGCTCGCTGCCTTGGCTTGCTCCATAGCTGCGCGCAACCCCTCCGGCAGGGAGAGGTTGTGCGCAGCCTGTACGCTGCTCTTTGGGGCTTGGGGGGGGGGAAATATTTTTTTTCTTGATTTCCCCCCCTAAAAACTGGGTGCGCCCTATGGTCCGGTGCGCCCTATGGTGCGAAAAATACGGTACACAAAAGGGGCATAAAGATGCAAATATTGGTAAAAATAGCAAACTAAAATGCAGTGTTAGGGAATATTGTCTGCAAAAATGTGTATGCGAGGCATACCAAAAAAAAAAGTCTGTTAGGAGAAATGCTAATGAATTTTCACACAAACTTAAATAAAATATTCAAAGCTGATACTGCAGTACAGCAAACTGAATCTGAGATTGTAAACATGAGAAATTGAGAGACACTGAAATTGACACATTCATCCATCTTTAACTGGTGTGTGTGTGTGTGTGTATACATATGCACATGAATGTTGTTGCAATATTTTGATTTCCATGAGCCAGTTTTGCAGTGAACTTTGGTCTGCAGAAAGAGCCTCCTAGAGCCAGGTTATTCAGATCTCAACTGTCTTGAATCAAGCAGGGAGCTTTCTAAATATGTCACACTTGCTTTGATATCTGTGCAGATAAGATTCAGCCACTTACATTTTTGTGCCTGTTGATAAATTTTAATATCACAGTTGATCTTCCCTTTCAGAAACATTTATCTTGGATTTCTACCTGTTTCCTTCTCCTTCTACCTGTTTTCCCTGCAATGTCAGAGATAATAGTTTGTTTTAGAGGATTGATGCCATGATAACAGCTACAGAATGCATGCGAAGCACTTTGGACGCTAGAAAGTGTTATAATATAAATGTTAAGTGTCACCTATTCTGAACTCATGATTTACCATCCCAGCCTGAGAGCCTCCATTTGTTATACCTTTCTTCATTGAAAAGGAAGTATATTAAAACTCTACTGGGTTACAACTTTCATCTGGAATCTTTCAACAGGTTTGAAGATTGGGTGAACATTTCAGATAAAAATGAACTTCAAGTGGTTCTGGCTCCTGGCCATTGTCCTGGTCTTAGGATTCACCAGTTTCGCAGATGCCAGGGGTGGTCGTGGTGGAGGTGGCCGTGGTGGTAGAGGTGGCCGAGGAGGCCGTGGGGGCAAAGGACAAAAACGTAAGTCACCAATTTAAATTACTTTCACTTTTTATAAAACTATTTAATAGCTGATACTAGTTTATTCTACAGCTGTGACCCTGTTCCTAGAAGGGGTGGAGGGGGAACCATGCCATAAATTTGGAAATACATGATTGGATGGCATATTTTTTTACAGTGCATAAAAAGCAGGGTAGCAGCAGTGGGAAGGGACCAGTGTTTGGCTCCCTGGACAACCTAGTTACTGACCACTGATTTCAACTGCTTCCAAAGGCAGATGGCCAAAAGGCAGGTGGCCTGAATTGTGTTGGTGGATGATTCCGAGTGGATCCATTCTATTATCGTCTTTCAGCACAATCCAATGCATGTCTACTTAAAAGTACAATCTGTTGATATTAATGGGTCATACTCTGCAAGTTCCTTTGGGCTACAAACCCTTCTAGATCAGCAAGTCAGATTGTTATCTCCCCCCTCCTCATCAGGTGATGTGATAATGATATCATCTGACACCATTAAGAATTCAGATGACCTTTTTTTGCCCAATTTTTCTCAACCCATTGAACGGGGCTTCTGAAGATCTGACAATCAGCTGATGACATCAGGAGGAGTGCAGGTGGGTGTAGCTTCACCCACATGGGCTCAAGGCTCAAATTGGAACACCTGGTGGGACTCATTGGCCCATGGACCAGGGATTCCCCACCTCTGTATGGCTACTCATTTGCCCCTGTACAAAAGGTTACAAAAGTCATGGCTGATAAGCCAAGTGACCAGAGGAGGACCTTCAAACAGCAGGGTTGGCTTTGCTATACAGAAAGATGGAGTGACTGGCTTCATGTAGGAAATAGATGAAGGCATGAACTGATAGATAAATGTTCAACAAGACTACTACTACTAGTAGTAGTAGTAGTAGTACTAGTACTACTACTACTAATAATAAACAACTTGCTGACCCTAGCCAGGTTCATGGTGGAGCACTTGAGGTCTGCTTCAGGAGGCAAAATGTAATGGCGTGCTGTGGGAAAAAGTTAAGACCATGCCTGAGCATCTTGTTGGTCACCAAGCCAAATACCAACCACATATGGTGATCCATCAGAGATGTGGTAAACTTCCTGTTTGTGCTATATACTTGCAGATGTTGAACACCTAGCAGGCCACAATACAATGCCTGGTGTACTCCATTCATCTTGATGGGTCACAACTTTCAGAGAGAGAAATAAGCCTTTGTATTTTCTGCCCATTTATTTGCTTAGCTCAGTGAGACCTTTTAGATATGTGACAACTTCCTAACATAACAACAATGACCAAAAAACTAGAGACAAGGCCAGAGAAAGCTTCCAGAACATATATAAAGAGGCTCATTTGATTCAGGGAGGTTCTCTGTCTCTACTCGGAGGCACCACACAACTCCAAGTTCTTAAGATCTGAAGACATCCAGCTTCCTGCAGTCTTGAAAAATCACCCTTGGGAGTTCCTCTCCCATAGCTCTTGGGCAACCAATAGACTAAAGCTAATGGCAGAGCTGAGGTTTCACTGTGTGTGTAATTGACTTCACTCTTTGAAGGTAAAGGTTACCATTAAGCATATACTTATTTTCCATGTGTATCTACAAACAGCTTTCAGTAAAACAGAATACTGAGTTACATTTGGAATTTTGAAGGACTTTGGTGATCAGGCTGTATCCTATTTCTCTTTCGCTTGGAAATCTTCATGGCTAATGTTGACCTGAATATAAATTAAACTATTCCTCAATTAATTAAGAATTCTCAACTTTTCTTATTGAATAGGCAACTGTAACGTACCTCCTAGTCGGAGAAGAGACTGTGGATACCCTGGAATACCTAGAAGTACATGTTTAAAAAGAAACTGCTGTTTCAGCAATGCTATCAAGAATTCAAAATGGTGTTTCTACCGTGAGTAGCACGTTTGAGTAAAATATTCTTATGTGTGGCCCCTCCCCCACTATGAAACATCAAACTTTTACCCCCTCCCATTCAGTTGCAACGGGGGGGGGGGGAATGCCAGGAGGAGACCAGTGTGTGTGAATAATGTAAAGCTAATCAGAAATTTCGCAGTAGATACTTTTCTGAGGTTTTCCTTTTCTCATCCCATCCACTATAAAAAGGCCATCTTGCATAGTTTTCTTAGAATATTCTCCATTTTTTGTGGAAACCACTACTGTGTAAACACACCAGTATCCTTCTCACTCCTCCCATCAATGCTGTGGAATGATGATGTTCACCCTCCACGCCTAACCCCTGGTCCTGCCTGGTGCACACGCAGATGCGCCCCAGGTGACAAAAAGGATGCAATGTCACTGATTGCGTCTACATCCCTTAGCTGGCAACCCAAGCAGGAAGCCATGCAGACAAGACCAAGGATAACCCCCAACTTATCCATAACCAATGAAATTCCTCCTAAGCCCTATTCAGATTCCAGACTGTTGAAACAGGAATGTTCACCCTATAAAGGAGATTTCTCTTCTTTTCATTTCAGCAAATTAGAACGAAATGAAGTCACAGACCAGGAACCTCCAACAACGGCATCCCTCCAAGACAAAAACAGAAAACAAAATGTAGCTTTCTACATTTCCTCCTCTCCAGCCCGATTTCCTGCTTCTTTCCTTGCCAGGGAGGTCAGTTCATATCTGTCTGCGCACAACAACTGCAAATCCTCTCCCCCAAAATCTATAAACGTAGTTAATTAGTCTCAGCTCCATTTTGCCAACTTTGGTTATTACTCTTGAGAATGTAGAAATGCATTTTATTTCCCCGTTTGCATTATCTTTATGAAACCATTTTGTGTATATTAAAGCATTGTTAAAATGATGTGTTTCTCTTTTTAATGCTCTTGACATATTTTCACTTATAAACTCTTATCTCACAGCCGTGCAAAGTGACACAAGTCTATTTTCCAAACAGGCTAGATATCTAGCGCTATATTTTACAAGAATACAGTCTAGATCTTGAGATTATTTTTGGCTACACTCATAGAATCAACTGGTGTTTAATAGCTCTCTATCCAAAAGTGGAAATCCATCCATCAACCTTTAACTCAAAGGAGAGGTGCACTGCAGAAAGGTGCCTGTGGGACAAATGGCTTCAGGTGACTTAAAGCTGTTGGGCCACACCACATGATGTGGAGAGGCAAAGGTGGCAGGGGGAGCTGTGGTGGACCTATGGGAAATCATCCATTCCAAGTTATGACAGTCATTCAGATTCAGAGCATCATCCAATCCATTCACTGTGAAATCCAAAGAGACACAATTCCATCATTCTTTCTCGAGTGTGAGAGTGTCATCCTTTTGTCAGTGTGAGATTGAAATGGTTTGCATCAGCTACAGATCGAGCCCTTTATCCAGTATGGTACCTGCTCATCTCTCCCTGTGGCTAATGCAGCTTTGTGGGGATGATTTAACTTAAGAGCCCACTGCCCAAGATAGGACAATAGGACCTACAACAAAATGTTGCAGCATATATTCACCTTCTAACAGAAGCACTGTTGTTCAGGGTTCTAGCCAGCTATCCTCTCCAACCAGGATGTACCACTGCCACCCTCCGCATCCCCCCTCAGTTTTCTGTTTTTCTTTCCTGACTGACACTGAGCTGTTGACCGACACTGAACTGTCTGCACCATGGCTATAGAGAACATTCTAGGGCTGTTAGGGCTATCTGTCTTAAGAGAAATGTACATTGAGTGGTTACTGTGCATAACAACTGACAGCTGTGCACATTAAGCAGGCCTCATGGAAAACATGGAAATAATCCTTTCAGGAAGAGGTCAATATACCTAATCTCCCACAAGTCTTGGGTAATGTGCATATATCAACTAAATTTTGAACATTCTCCTACCGCTATAAATAATCCCCAACAGGCGTTTAAAAAACAATCTTTGTAAATCTAGTGATCTCTGAACATGCTAATGACTGCTTCATGTTTCCCAGTGTTTTAGTAACCATTTGCTGGGATTCTCAACTTGCTTTTGCTATTAGATGGGGGGGGGATTAAGATGAGGAAATAGCCATTTGTAGCTCTGAATATTATCACAAAATATACAGCAAAAGAGTTTTGTTACATGTTAAAGAATACTACATCAAAGGCAGATTTGGAGTGGTGCAACTGGTTCCCTCGCACTAGGTGACTAGCTGCGGGAGAGACTTCCTGCCTCCTTCCCAAACCATAGTAAGAGCTGGGCTTTGAGAAGGAGTCATGATGGCTCTGACAGGCCCTAGAGCATGGGTAGGCAAACTAAGGTGATCTACTCAGATCAACAAGCAAGAAAAATTATCAACAGTAACATCACAGAGGATTTTATAATAAGAAAAGGATTAAGACAAGGGTGTCCACTATCCCCATTGATATTCATTTTGGTCATGGAAGTGCTGAACAATCAAATAAGAGAAGACCAAGAGATAAAAGGAATTACATTAGGTGAGAAAGCGTACAAACTGAAAGCCTTCGCAGATGACCTTATTATAATGACTGAAAACCCTGAAGAAAGTCTATTAATGTCAGATGGCTGTTGCGGTTGCTCGAGAGTAACCAGGCAGGACTCCAACTTGTGTTTTACGGGCTTCATTTTGGTGCAAACTATTTACAGTGAAGAGCCCCAAAGCTCATGTCTGGCTCAATTACTAGCAGGATCCGGGAGTGGTCTTTCTTTGGACCTTCCCCAACATAAGAGTTTCGTTACCCCCAACCTTCTCCTCCCCTCTTTGCGCCTTAGGCTACTATTGTGCAGGATGGGCAATGGCAAAGGCGTGTTTCCCTCCTGTCCGGCTTGCCCAGGAGCGGTGTTAAGGCTCCCACTAGCATCCTCTGGTCCTTGTACCTCTTCCCCACTGGAGGTGGGGCTTTCCTCCTCCCCAGAAGAGGAACTGCTTCGCAAGATTTTTGGAGGCTCCCTGTAACACAACTGCCCTTCTATTTCTCACCTCTGAGCCGATAGCAGTTCCCTGACAATTAAGGACACTAGAAATAATCAAGAACTTCGGACAAGTAGTGGAATTTAGACTTAACAGTTCCAAAACAAAGCTTCTAGTTAAAAACCTCACAATACAAGACACAGAAGATCTGGAAAAAACCCTCAAACCTGAAGATCTGCCAAAAAGTAAAATACCTTGGTATATGGATCACCCCAAAAATATTAATCTTTTTCAAGACAATTACGTCAAAATTTGGAGTGAAATTAAGAGGAATTTGGATATATGGAGTAGTTTAAACTTACCTTTTTTTGGGAAAGATTTCAACCATAAAAATGAACGTGTTACCGAAAATGCTCTTATTATTCCAAACAATACCTGTGATGGGAGGGAAAGACAGCCTCAAAAAATGGTAAAGAGATATTTCCAGGTTCATCTGGCAAGGGAAAAGACCCTGAATCAAACACCAGTTTTTAATTGACATAAAAGAAAGAGGGAGGTTCTCGTTGCCGGATCTAACATTATATTACGAGGCTGCCTGCCTAACCTGGATTAAGGAGTGGTGTACTTTACAGGACTCAAACCTACTAGATCTGGAAGGCTATGACAACCAGTATGGTTGGCATGTGTACCTAGGGTACGACAAAGTAAAGGTCCATACAAACTTCCTAACCCACATCATAAGAAGGCCCCTTTACATGGTCTGGGCAAACTATAAAGAGCTCTTGGAACCCAAAGCACTGTGGTGGATTTCCTCCTGGAAGCACTTTTCTTAAAAAAGAAAAATATGAAAGAAAACTGGATGGCATACAAAATATTAGTTAAGGAGGAAGATAATCAATTGAAACTTAAAAATTTCGAGGAAATAAGAAAACACTTGTCAGATTGGCTCCTATACCATCAGTTGAATGAGACATTTAAAGTAGACGTAAGAAAAGGATTTGCAACAGAACCATCTAGATTAGAGAATGATCTGATTAATTCAAAAACTAAAATGCTTTCCAAAATGTACTGACTCCTCCTTGACTGGGAAGTCAGGTAAACCTGGAAAGGAGGTAAAATCCATCATGATAAAATGGGCACAGGACTTTGGCTATAATATCTTAATGAAGGATTGGGAAAACCTCTGGAGGACAAATATGAAATTTACTGCTTGTTACACATTGAGAGAAAACTTTCTGAAAATGCAGTACCGTTGGTACATTACTCCCTTAAAACTATTCAAAATGTATAAGAATGTATCAAACAAATGTTGGAGATGCAAAGAAGCAGTGGGATTGATGCTGCACATGTGGTGAAGTTGCATAAAAATTAAGGAATTTGGGGATGAAATATATATGGAACTTTAAAAAAATGCTTAAGATTGTGTTTACAAAAGAACAAGAGGCCTTCCTTCTTGGGATACTGGGTTCCGATATTCCAAAAAGTGTAAGGGAATTATTCTTATATGCGACACTGGCCGTGAGAATTTTAATAGCATCAAATTGGAAAGGAGAAAAAGTACCATCAAAATTGGAGTGGCAACAAAAATTAATGGAGTACACAGAACTAGCTAAGCTAACAGGAAGAATAAGAGACCATGCAGATTAAGCATTTTTCAATAAATCGGGTTTGTTTAAAAGTTACATAAAAGATTGGAACAATATAAAATCTGTGGCAGCCTTTGAATAGCTTCTGTTATACACTGAACAGGTTTAAGAAAGTACAATATTTTGGCTAAGCAATTATCTAAAATAGACACAAACAGAGCACTAGATAAATATACATTTAAAGCAGGATGGAGTTGGCGGGAAGTCAATGAAACTGTAAGAAGACTGTGATGAACTGTAATAATATCGACAACTCTTTGATGTTTATTTGTTATGGATAATTTTGATTTTGTGTTATTTGTTTTAAGTTCAATAAAGTAATTTAAAAGCAAAATAAAAAAATAAAAAATATTGAATTTGTGAAATTATTGCCTTCAAAAATTAGCATATATGAGACCAATAAATCTGCTAAAGTTGTGTTCCTCCTTGCATGAGAAAGTTGCAGGCTAAAAAAAAAGCAAGATTGCCAGATAAAAGAGGTTGCCAATTAAAATGTCCTAAGTCTCATTTACCTGTTGCTCAAGATAGGAAAATGCAACACATGGAAACATCAGCTTCTTGTGACCAGAAAACGGTTGGATTTTTTGACATAAACAATATAAGAAATCAACTGAAATGTTGCTACAAAAGTCTGTTGACTTGCATTGTTTCCTGAACCCAACGTCCAGTTCTTGGCTTTTGGGTTTACTAACGGTTATTTTATTGGCCCAATTATTGATAGCATTTTCACCTCAAGGGGCTGCAACAGGAAGGAGGCGGTCTTCTTGAACCATATAAATTAGCCTTGCCCTTCTGAGTTTTGATATCCTGCTGTTTCTCATCGAGCTGTTCAGCAACTCATTCAGGTGGGGTAAGTCAAGTGGTTCTCGCGACTGGGAGGCAAGGGATTTGGTTTGATTTTCATTTTAATGCAACTCTACCCACTTCACAATACACAAACTGAAATGAGGCTTTTGTTCTAAATTCAGCCTTCTGTGAATTTTGTGTTACCCTCTCCAACCAAAAGAAGATGTACAGAAAGTGCACATAAGGGGCTTAGAAAGGCAGATAATGGTGAAAATAGCAGACCAAAATGCATTCTTAGGGAATATTGCCTGCAAAAATGTGTATGTGAGGCAAAGTTGCATACAAAAAAAGGGGGGATGTTAGGAGAAATTCTGATGAATCTTCATGCAAATTTATAAGAAAATTCAAAGCTGATGCC